CACACCTCCACCTGACCCCCACACCTCCACCTGACCCCCACATCTCCACCTGACCCGCATACCTCCTCCTGACCCCCACACCTACATCTGACCCCATACCTCCACCTGACTGAACGTTGAGGAGGAAAGAAATCAAGGCAATCCAATGCTGAGAAGAACATTCTTAAGAAGTCGTGTGCTGGAATATGTGTGTGCTTGCTTATATGCAAAACAAAATCACACCTAGATTAGATCATATAAAATCCACAAAAACTAACTTCAAGTGGTTCATAGACTTATAGGTGAAAGACAAAACTATAAAACTTCTAAAAGATAATAGGAGAAAAATCTAGACATGAACTTAATCACACACACAAACACACACCCTGGCTGGCCCCACTACTGAGATCAAACCTATGGCCTCATGCATGCTAGATTTCCCAGTCTGGGTATAATTATTTTTTTGGTAGAATACCAAAGGCGTGATTCATGAAATAACTAGTTGGCAAGCTGGACTTTACTGAGATTAATAAACTGTTCTATGAAAGAGCCTGTCAGAAGAATGAGAAGACAAACCACAGGATGGGGGGAAATGTTTGTAAAACATAGTTAATACAGGACTGCCATCCAAGATACACAAAGGGCTTTTAAAACTCAACAATTGGGAACCAAATTGACCAGCCATCTGCATAGATACACTACCAAAGAAGATATATGCATAGAAAATAAGCACATGACAATACATTCGATGTGAAACACTATGAGAAACTTACATATTAAAATGAGACCCTATGATATATCTCTTGGAATGGCCAAAATCTAAGACACTGACATTAAATGCTGGTATAGATGTTGAGCGATAGGACTCTTCATTGGATGTGGGAGGAGTGTGAAATGATACAGCCACTGTGAAAGCCAGCTGGGAGTTTCTTACGAAACCAAGCATGCTGTTACTGTAGGATTCCACGATCACATCCTAAAGCTTGTGTCTTAACAAAACACTGCATGTGCAATTTTGTTTATAGCTGCTTTGCTCACTATTGCCAAACATGAAAGCAACCATCGAGTGGGTGAATGCCTAAATAAGCCTCGTCCATTCAGACACATGAAGATTGCCCAGCACTGAAGAGAAACAAGCTCTCAGGGTACAAAAAGGCACAGGGCAAGGGAAACTACCTGTTTCCAGCTCCACAGAAACAGTAAGATCAGCGGTTGATCAAAAGCAGGTGGCTGGGAAGGATGGTCTGGGGATGGATGCTGTACAGTGGCAGACAATGTGGATCAGGCAGAGTTTCCAACAACAGTGAGCGGGGCAGGAAAGCACTGTACAAGCTGGACCAATAGTTAACTCTCATGTTTTCTGGGCTTCTACCTTAGGACGGAAAGGCTAGAGACAGAAAAAGTGAACCTCCTCCTTATACCAGAGTTTCACGACCTCGAGGGGAATTCACACTACTGAATCCACCTAAAATTTTGGAGTGAAGGATGGGGTGTGTGGATTGACCCACTTTGAAAAATATGAAAAAGTTAAACACACACACAATCACACTCAGATACACACAATCTCCCCCCCCCTTTTTTTTCTCCACACACAAATGAAATGCCACAAAAGAATTGCTTCTTTCCCAAATGAAGCCTTCTCTACCACTAAGAAATTGCAATGAGGCTTATCGGCTTTTCCTCACCTGGTTAACAGATACAAAAGACAGGTATTTATGGGCAGCAGGCATAGCAGGAGAATAAGTAGAAGCAAATACAGGTTCCTATAGGGCAAAGCAAGAGGATTAGAAGTAAGACTGGAAGATGGACTGGCATGTGGGAGGGGGGGAGTGAGCTGGGGAGAAGAGAGGCAAACTATGAATTTTCTAGCAGAGTTAATGTTCTCATTGCAATTTTGGTTCTTTCTCAGAACACCCTTCCTTTGAGTGTCTGCTGAATGGCACACACCCCACATAGCCCAGCCCGTGCCCCTGAGGCAGGGTGGTGCGGTAATTAATAAGTTCATGGCAGATTCCTGCAATATAAGTATATATGTATCTTTAGTTAGAGATGAGATCTGGGCCTTTTGCCAACAGTTTGAATACATTTATGTATTAACTATCAAAACATTTAATACATAAATGATTACTTTCTTTATGGCATTTTCATAATATGACTTAAAAATAGTTTAAGGACACAGGATCAGCTTCCGCACTGGATGAAAGCTGTATGTTGCCTAGGAATACAAAAACAAAACAAAACCGAGCAGAGAAGGCACTGGGCACCATAGATGCTATGAAACTGGAAGACATGTTAACTGCCGTAGGGTCAGTCACCTATGCTTGGGTGAGCAGAGCGAGCCTCTGCCCGTCTAAGTGACTATGAAGCATTACTCCTTCAAAGCTGGGTTTGTTTGTTTGTTTGTTTGTTTGTTTTTTCTTGTTTCAGATAAGGTTTCCGGAGAACTTCACAAGGAGCCAGACAAAATTATAGTCACTGTGACACTGTTCAGATGACCTGCACTTACCTGAAGTGCTCCTATACCATTAAAAAATGCTACATAAGACCATAAGCATGCTCAGGATGCTCAGGAATGTGTCAGCCTCCCTCTGTATGTGACAAGTTTTCCTATACTATATATACACACAAATATACATATAGACATATAAATATTTGAGTTTCCCATAAAAATCCTGGGCTTTCCTTTTCAAAGCCATGGCTCTGAGGGTTCTCTGTAGTGTTCTCTCTCTGCTCTTCTGTCTCCTGGCTGTGTATCCAGGCTTTGCACCCATCGGGGGAACCCACCATGTTTGGTTACAGAAAGACACCTGTGTTAGAGTCAGGCTTACCCAAAGCAGATTAGAAATGGCATTATCATCTGTAAATCCTCCTTCTTCCTATAGGTTAAAACAAACAGGAGACATTGTAGAGGACTGGAGGAGCAGAGTATGTTGGGGTGTCACCATCACTCTGTGCCTGGGTTCAGTCAGTCAAAAGCATGCGCACGCTCACATTCCAGTGCGGTGAACAGCAAGCAATCTCATTCCCCAGGGGCAGGACGACACCCGTGAGCAGACATCCAACAGCTTGCTTATCTTACTGATCCCCCCCATAGATCTGCTTTCTCCTCAGCTATGGCAGACAGTTCCAGCACGAATGTGGAAGGGGTTGCTTCCTTGGATTTTCAGGACCTTTTTTGGTGATATCTGAGATCTCAACCTGAACTGACCTCATTAGAGCAGAAGCAGAAAGGCTGCCCCACCCCCACCTGGGACTCACACACACACACAGTGGGTTTTATTTCATGGACAAAGTCCCAGACACTGGATGGCTGTCTTCGAAAGGACATGGGATCCACCTTACATGCTGCAATGCTGACTAGGCCCAGGCAGGGCTGGGATGTAGTGAGTTGGGGAAAATAAAGAACTGTCATTTTCTAGGAAGAAGATATCTGGAAGGCCACTTCCTCAAGACTTTGTTCTGTTTTCCTTTCTCTTGATGGACATGGAAACAAATCCTGCTCAAGTGCACATGTCCCTTGAAGTGTGGACCTAGTCCGTGCCACCACCTAGTGGTTTTTGGATCCTTATCACTAGGTGCAAATGCCATATCCAGAAGCCCAGATGTTTTTCTGCTCGCCCTGATCTGCACTAACTCAAGTCCAGGAAGCAGGCATGGAGGGTGGTGAGGGAGAGGGGGAGAAGGGAGTCTGAGTGACTTCCATGGGAAGGGAGGCAAGCCGGGGGATAATCAGTGCTCTTAAGAGTCAATTCATTAATCTTGATATTTGAGGAATATAATTAGAAAGCGAGCAACTGCTCCCTGGGACTGAAATCTGAGAACAAAAAGGAAAATTCTTACTTCCTTCAAAGCTATTCATGAACCCAAAGGAGACCATACTATCACACGGGACCCCAAATGAGACATGGGTGAGAGCACCCCGATTTCTCTTCTTTGGGGACAACTCCTTTGACAGAGAAAATGGATACAGATTTTTGAGGCATTTATTAATTTTGTTGTTGTTGCTTTGACATAGGGAACATTCTGTAGCCTGTGCTGTCCTGAAACTTACTAGGTAGCCTAGGCTGGCCTCGAACACACAGAAATCCCCCTGTCTCAGTCTCCTGAGTGCTAGAATTATAAGTATCTGCCACTATGCTCATCCCATCCCCTAGTGTCTTTTTTTTTTTTT